AGAAAACAAGAGGCGTCGTATGGCTGGACTCTGAATATGCCGTTCGGGTGAGCCTTTTCTGGGGGAGACTGGAGACTGGGCCCTGGCGGAAGGGGGCGTGTGTTAGGGCGTTTCTTAGCCAAAAGCTGGGGCTGGGCGACCCTCTGGCGGTGCTCCCACGGGCTCTGTGGGCTCTGCGGGCTCTGCGGGCTCTGGCGGGCTCTGCAGGCGTGTCGGGCAGTTGAGCGGGCGCCGGCCTGGGCGGTCGTGGGCGGGTCGCAGCACTCGTAGGCGGGCGGTGGGAGGGGCCTTGCACCGGCTGCTCTCCTCTGAATTTATCCGTCGGCCTCCTCATACGGTCGCTAACGCAGTCTCTATTTCGCACCAATCACTACATTCACCGCCAGCCCTGCTAGCTCGTTCTCATTACAGGACGGAAGGCCACACCCTATGCCAAGCCCCACCGTTTGCACTGTCACTGTCACCGTCACCGTCACCTACCCGAAATTCGACCTACACACTGCACACCATCCACAGCAAATTACCCTCTCCCCCTCCTTTTTCTCTCTGGATGATTTCCACACTGGACGAACGGGTGGTGTGCAGGCTTCCAGTGTATCACCATCACCATCACCATTACCATCGCTATTGCTATCGCTATCGCCATGTTACCTACCTAGTAGCTGGAATTGGGAGGCCCTAGCCGTTCCATGTACCTACATACAACCACCGAGATCCAGCCTTTTGCAAGCCTCTCCATTGGTGGAGAGACCTCGACCTTGTATACATGAAAACCCTATATCAACCACCCTGCTACCCTACCGCCCCCTCGCCCATCGCCTACACATGGCAAAGTCAGCAACGCCACCAGAACCACCAGAACCACCAGAACCTGCACCAGCCCACTGGCTCGAGGCGACCTCCGAGGAGATCATTCTGATCGTTGTGGTCGCTTTGGGACTTCGATAGCTGCTGCAGTAGCCCGTAGCGGCGGTTTTCCTGTGCGGCTCGCTCCTTTCAGTATCCGGGTGGGGAATGCCACAACCTCAATCTGGAGTACGGCATCGTCCAACTGCGACTGAACTGCAACTACGATTGCGCCGGATTCTCTGCTTTTCCCCAGAAAATCTGCCTTTCAAGGGTCACACAATGCTGCTAACATTTCTCATCATCCATCCTATATGCAGCTTGTCGCGATTCTTTCATATCCTACCCCGCCTCGCTGCAGGTAGTGCGACTTCACCGAGCAATCCCTTGGTCCAGTCACTATCCCCAATTTGGATCTCTAGCTCTATCACAACTGTACCAGAATATGTACTTGCAGTTTTGCATCCACTGGCTATCTTGCGCTTAACCGTTCATTCAGCTATTTAACCGGCCACGAGCCACGCGGTATAGATGAATGCTGCCTGTCCAACATATCAAAGTCGTCACACCATTCCACCAACTGCTTCAGATGGTTCGCTCAATTTTCCACAGTGGCCTCATCTTCGGGCTGGGTATCGGAGCGATTGTCGAAAAGAGATCAGTCTGCCGTTGCAATCTTGTCTCATCGAGATCTCATTACCGTTTAACCTACAGATAACAAGTTCTTGGCCGAAGAAGAACCGTCTGTCACCGGAGAGGAGGAGAAAGCCTTTCCCATTCTTCTGTAAATTCCAATATATAGCCCATCATTAAATATCTAATGCCACCGGTCTCAGCTCCGGTGCCGGTACGTCTATCGAACTATCAGAAAAATTGACCGAGACCGTTTGCCGTCGATTTATTCGCGTTTTGGGGGATCGGGATCAATTTCGGCAGATCTTCAGGACCTATTCTTTTCGTCTTGACAAGATGACAATATGAGGCCTTCAACATCGTCAGACGGTGATTGATATAAATCTACGACAGAACCTGACAAGGTTCGGCTCGAAATCCCGACGAGGCGCCGGATACTCGATTACCTATGGGAATACATTCTAGAATCGGCTCAAAATCACTCGGCGGATAGTCCAACCTCAGCCCTATTCCAGCGACATGGTAATATGCGGTTTTGTCTACAAGATCAGCAGGACCACGCTCAGGCTAAGGTTCCAGTAAACATTTATCGGATTGATCGACCCGACACACAATAATTGGCCGATATGTTTCGATCGTGTATCACCATATTCCTCATACAAGTGATAACTCTTCTACTATTTTCATCATCGCTACATGATCTTTGCTTTTCCCCCGCTAGCATCCATAACACTACCACTAATCCACTATAAGACCATCATCAGCACTTTTCCAGGAACTAAATCGAACAATCCGGAAAACTCACCCTCGCCTTCTCACTAACCAACAATCCAACCACATCTGCTACATCCTCAACCTCGCCAATCCTATTCCCCACCGCTACTTCCGCAGCATCACGCGCCGTGAGCTCCTCCCTCACAGACGCCGGTATACGGGTGTAGGCATCCGTTTTTGTGAAGCCAACACTGACAGAATTGAACGTTGTGCCCTCCATCCCGGGCCGGGTGCCTAGTTCATCGGCCCACTTCCTACATTGCCTCAGTAACCATCACAGATAGCCCCATCTCACAATAGGGAACCTACCTCATCAGGCACTCAAGAGCCGCCTTCGTAGCCGCGTAGACCGCTCTGTATCGCAAGCAAAACCATCAGCCCATACACCTTACACAACGCACGTTTTCCCACCATCTTGGCCCTCCAAAATTGCAATCATCCTACTCGTGGAACTATGTCGTTGCTGCTTGGCATCCCACATCGCCAGCCACCCAAGAGCCTGCCAAGCACACGATTCAACCTCAATCAATCCGTGACATAAATTCATCAAGCAGACTCCTCCTTCTCCCAGTATTCTCGTATTCTCCCATATCGCACGGATCGATCGATCCCGTGCTCGCCGATGGGACACGAGATGGCGTGCTGCTGAACCAATCGCCCGTTTGCTACTGGCCGTGCCGACGCGATGACTGATGGAAACGGATGCAGGATATGTAGTGAGGGGGGTGTACTTACCCACCCGAAGGACGCCATGCCCTCACGCCCTCACTGCTGATAGCTACAATTCGACTGTTTGGCTGGAGAAACGCTCCTTTCACCAACTCCTCCATCAGCAAGACAGGGAACATGACGTTGCCTGCCAAGGCTTTAGTAACGAAATCTTCGGTTATGGTTCCTGAGCCTGTTTTGGCCAGACCCATGATCGCCGCGTTGAAGATGACGATGGAGAGGGGTACGTTGTCGAAGTGGGTGCGGAGGGCGGAGAGGATGGTGGAGGGGGCGGTGGGGGACGAGATGTCGGCGGGGATGCCGAGGAGTGTTGGTGTCGGGTGGGAGGATCGGGTGTAGAGGGAGGTTATGGTGGCGGAGAGGTGGTCGAAGAGCGGAGAGGATGAGGGTGAGGAGTAGGTTCCTAGGATGGAGGCACCACGGGTGGCGAGGTTGAGGGCGATTGCTCGGCCGATGCCTTTGGTTGCTCCTCTTTAGGTGGGTGAGTGGATGAGAGTGTGTTGGTGAGAATTGTGACGATAATGATTGATATTCGCAATTGATCTTCGCGGACACATTGAGAAAACGTGTATCTTACGATCGTAGATTTTGGAATATAACATTAAGAAATGAGACATGAGTATGCATGATCGGTTAGAGAACTCGATAATTCGCGGCGGGGGTCATCCTAAAGAAATCTCTTCGACCTTGAGAGCTTGATACAATGTATCAAACCGTTGATACAAAGTAAACATGATAATAGAATGCATTCATTCTCACGATCAACTTAGGAAAGTGGAAGAAAGCGAGAAGCGGAAGATTCCAAGGACGGAAACACATCCCTCATCCACGACAAAGACATGACAATCTCAATTCAAAAAAAACATACTCACGTCACCAAGGCTATTTTTCCCCTAAGATCCTGCTCTTGAACTTTCCACTCCTTCTCTTCCAATTGAAGACCGCTCAAATCCATAATTCTTCAAACACTTCAGAAAGTACTCGAAAATAGTCAAATGACAGATAAATACGAAAGAAAGAGATTAGATGAAAGAAATAACACCTACCTCCCCCATACATATTCATCCTAAAAATACACACTACACCCACATCACATCACCATCCCATCATCACCACAATGTGGATGTCGACACAGCACATCGAGCGCATCCACCACCCCTCTCAGCCCTTGCGCTCTGTCCTCGGCTCAAAAATCCCGTCCCCACATACGACCCCACCCCACTACCGACGCACCCACCCTGACAAAGAATACTTATGCGGCTCGGAGAAATTAAAAGAATTCGGCTTTTGATAGAAAACTATACGAGAATCGTTCGGCATTTGAGAGGTTTTTGTCGGTTGGTTGGTTGGTTGATTGGTAATGAGGGATGGATGGTGGTGCCTATGGTGCGGATGTAGGGGTTTTTTCTTTCTCAGAGGGGGGTGTTTGGGCTTGGACGCAGAGCGGGGTACAGAAGGGTTTTTAAGGATTGCAGTGGGTCGGTGCTTGCTGAGGTCTGAGTTATCCGGGGATGATTGAATGGGTTGCCATCTTCCAATGAAGAGCAGTCCAAGAACTAGACCCCGCGATGCAATATCCCGCGCTTTTCAATACCGTCCTGGGCTTCTCGTGATGGGATTCCATCCTCGCTGTGTTGTGGAAAGTCAGTGTTGGTGCACAAGTGTTCAGTGTAGCCGTGCGAACAAGTAGGCTGCGCCAGGGGTCAGTGCCAGCCGAGCCACTGGACGACCTGCCCTGCATGACGTGCATATCCGCGACCAGACCTTTGTTGTCCGGCTTACTCTTTCCAGGATAGTGTAGAGGGGTGCTTTTTGGTCATACGTCGAGCGACTGTGCCACGTCCACGTCATCCCTTACACCGCCCCTCCTTGCCGCAGCAATGCGGATAATCCGCTGAGAGCCAAAAGAAACTCGACATTTTCTCAAGCACGCTGCTTCCATTACTTGCATTGATGTACAATATAGGTTATCTAGCCCGAAATTTTCTTCAAAATCCATTTGAAATTCTTCAAGTCGAGTCGGGCTGGCGCAATGGTAGCGCGTTGGACTTCTACTTCCGATTTTAGTTCCCTGGACTAGGTCAGAGCTGGAAGGAATCCAAAGGTTGCGGGTTCGAGTCAGTACACGTCTGCTTTTCGCACATGACGAGCGATTGCTAATTAGATATCTAGGCCCCGCGTCCGATACTACATTCACGTTGTGATGAAAGTTTTTTTTTTTGCATTTTTTGGATATCGAGCGGTTAGCAGGTGATGACAACATAGTATTTTTAGTTTTTTTGTAGCAGCAACAGGATCATGAACTACACTAATTGTACTCTTTTGTTTATTTTTGGCTGTTCTTTTACGCTTGATGGTAGGCGTGGTGGAAAGTAAGTGATGGCGGGTCAACCGAACATCGACCATCGCGATATCAATCCCACAACAGCAGCATCATTATCTCAGCGTATGGAAATCGAGCAGCAGAAACGCAGTTTTCATCCTTTGAAGTATTTTCGTTCATAAATAATTATGTTATGGATCCCAAGAACAGAAACTGGAATTGGCGAATGATTTATGGTTCCGCGCATGCCAAATACTGGTATATACACATGCCCTGAAGGTTTTGGGCTATCAAGGATATCACGCAATCTCTCAAGCAAACTCCCCGATAATTCGCATAATGCTTGATATGTTTATTTGCACAGGCATACATGTTGATCTACAATTTTGCATGCACCCAAACGCATAGCGCCTGCTCTTGGCCAAACGGTAGAGAGGCGTCAGAAGAAGAAAGGTTTGTGTGTAAGATTCTTTACTATATTGATTATCGACAGCGTGGTGTTATTCATGCACCTCTTTTGACAGCCTTGACACCGTCGGACGTTCTTACCCTAGGAGCACTGTGACAGTGTGCAGAAACTTGATGATGTTGTTGCTTCCGACGTACCAAGCTGTTCATGCGAAAAACCACAACAAATCAGGACTAAATTTTGGCCTGCAATATCCATTTCAAGACGAACAGACTGCACACTCATTCTACGCTACCAATATTTGCGCCAGAACATGACAGAGAAGTTTCTGCACGCTATATGAGGCATTGAATGTAGTAATTCAGTTTGTTCAAAGTTCTCTCTCTATCCGTCTTATGTTGGCGTTACAAATCAGGGTGCAATATACTATTCACAGTATACTAAAAGATAAGTAGCGTTGGCTATAGCATAGGTAACATCACGTTGACGCAACCAGGGGAGGTAAATATTGAAGACATTGGTATTATTGATTCTCAGGGTATCAATAAGAATACTATTATACAGAATACATCATAACGCTCTCATACTGTTGGTATAATACAATCATAAAACAAACATTAACTATCATCCCCAGAGACCATCAACTATAGTTCTCTAATAACCATGGCGGCGAGTGGTGGCAGTGGTGCGACCATCAGTGCCATGCATGCGGCGAGTGCCAGCAGCCTATTAGGAGAGTTAGTATGTTGTATGAGAGATGAACGAACCACTAGGAACTGACCTTAAGACCCGGGCGACGAGTCAAAGAACCCCTCAACTTCATGAGAGCGCCGGAGACCTTGTCTCCCATGGTGGCATGGCGCTTGTGTACAGTGCCGGTAGTACCGACATGTCCGTGGTGCCTGGTGGTCCTCGTGGTAGTGGTGGTGGTGGTAGTAGTGGGAGGAGTGCGGTGAGCACGAGTGGCACGCTTGGGACCCAAAAGCCTTGTCTTGAGGCTCGGGCGGGCAGTAGTGCGGGTAGCACGGGCAGTGCGGGGAGCAGTGCGAGGAGCGGAGCGGCGCATAAGAGGCATGTTGATGGCTTGGATTGGTTGTTTTGGATTGGAGTTTTGAAAAGTGGGTTTAAAGGTTGCTGGCTGAGAAGTCTTTGACTTGAACTTGTTGTGGTAGTTGTTGCTTGGTTTGGATAAGACGGCATAGAGGCGACTATAGACAAGTATATATACGTGATTCAAGATATCTTGTCAAAGGCTCTGAAACCCCGAAAACAGGTTGTGAATACAAAGGGTAACGTGAATGGATAGGATCACCCATTCGACGTCATGCAGGGAGCAGTGAGCCGCACCCCGCCGTTGACGGTGTGGCGCACAACATGAGCCCTGACGTCTTCGGAGGATTGAGGGTGGTGAAGAGGTCCTCGCGTCGACGTGAGCGTTTCCTTGTTCGGCGCTTGCGACATGACGCTGCGGGTTGGATGGCTGGGATGTGGGGATCGAGCATGTTAGAAAATAGAGGAGGCGCGTGCATGGACCCTGATTTCAGATTGCGATGTGACGTCACCCCCACACCATGTCCACCACCATGCGAGAAAACATCGGCTTTGACATCGCGATCCTTTGCCAAGTGCGACGACGGAATAATGGCCCGATTACCTGGGATGCGGACATTCATTGATGGAAGTTAATTAAACGAGATTGTCTATTTCAAGTTAAGGCCACCAACCTTGTTGAAGCTGTGAGGTCATCGCTCGTTTCACTTGATTGCCCAAACCGGCAGCAGGTAGGCTCAGGGAATTTGTCCATGTCCGAAGTTCAACACCAGCAAACGTCTTATTAGAATCACCACACTTGAGCGGTTACAAGCACGCAGCATAGTTTTGACCTCTGCCTTTATCCATTCAATACACATTCCATGGCCCTTGGGACAGACGACTAGGCGTTCCTGCTGTCCTTGATTTACAATGACAACAGACATGCCCAGGCCACTTCGAAAATGGATGAAAGGCTCCAGTAATAGACTCTGAGAAGAAGGTCTACTGATAGCGACGGAAGATACTCGAACATAGATGGAATATTCAACATGTCATTTTGTGAGGTCCCCACTACTTTCGCAATTGTGTATGCATGAGGGTTTGGTGATGTCACAAAAAATCAGCGAGAAAATAAAATCATCAACTTTCAGAATGTGTCAAATTCTCTGCTCATCCATATCTCTACTCTCAAATTGTAGAAAATCAACTAAGAAATCTAAACAAATTCTTCAAAATGTCTTCCAGCAAAGGACAATTCGAGCAGGGTAAGTAATAGCAGTAAACCGCATGGCAATGAAAGCAAAATATTGACAAACCTACAGGCTATCAGCCAGAAGTTCAACACCAAGATACTCCAGGTCTCCAATCAAAACTTGATCCAGCCCCCCAGGTCGACCATCTACCTACCGCCGATGGCGGTGCTGAGCTTTACAAGGCAGCAGGAAAACTTAAGGGCAAAAAGGCATTGATCACTGGAGGAGATTCCGGAATTGGTCGTTCAATCGCTGTTCTATATGCGATGGAGGGTGCAGACAGCTTCATTGTCTATCTTCCCGAAGAAGAAGAGGATGCACAGCAGACCAAGAAGCTTGTCGAAGAGAAGGGACAAAAGTGTTACCTTTTCAGCACAGACCTCAAGGATAGCAAAAATTGTAAGAAGACAGTCGATGAGGCAGTGAAGCAACTCGGTGGAATCGACATCCTGGTCAACAATGCAGCATATCAGATGATGGTGGAAGATATCAAGGATTTATCAGAGTAAGTCCCGCTCCATATGTACATGTATGTCATGAGTTATCTAACATACCCTCAGAGAGCAATGGATCCGCACCTTCGATACAAACATCCACCCCATATTCTATGTATCCAAATACGCTCTTCCACACATGAAGAAAGGAAGCACTATCATCAACAACGCCTCCATCAATGCATACATCGGTCGCCCGGACCTCCTTGATTACACATCTACCAAGGGTGCCATCATTTCTTTCACACGTGGTCTATCAAACCAATACGTCAGCAAGGGTATTCGCGTGAACGCTGTCGCACCTGGACCTGTATGGACTCCGCTGATTCCTGCCACCATGAACGACGAAGCTATCAAGAACTTCACGAGCCCAATGGGGAGGCCTTCGCAGCCAAGCGAGATCGCAACGTGCTTTGTGTTCTTGGCGAGTACGGATAGTAGCTCCATCAGTGGACAGACGATCCATGCCAACGGTGGTGTTATTGTGAATGGTTAGAGGATGAAAAAAATGTGTCATGATTTTCCTTTCTACCTTTGTCATAATAGATAAAACATTGAAATAATTACACTATACATAATGCTGCCATGAAATGTAGAGTTGTGATTATGCTTTCGATCGAGATGAACCTAAATACATCGACCACCATCGACTTCTAGGTTAACTCCTGTGATGAACTTGCTCTCCGAGCTCGCCAGAAAGACACAGGCCGATGTAACATCGTCGACCTCGCCAATTCGACCGAGCGGGACGTTGAAGACGAACTTTTCCCTGTTCTCTGGTGTATCCTCCATCCCCGTGAAAGCAGAGAAAAGTCCCGTGCCCGTTACTAGCGGGCATATGCTGTTAACACGAATTTGATGCTGGCCATATTCGGCAGCAAGACCTTTGGTAGCCTGTGAAGTGTTTAGCATACTTCTCATAGCTTGACACCTCTCAATGGACTCACATTCCACACTGCACCCTTTGATGCGTTATACCACACCAGCCCTGGCCTGGGCCTTGTAGCACCAACACTCGCAATGTTGATAATGACACCACCCTCCTTCTTTTCAATAGCCTGCGGCACCCACGCATTACAACCCAGATACACCCCTTTAACGTTGACGTCAAACACTCTCTGAAATTCTTCCTCCGTGACATTTACAGTCGGCTTGTTCGTATAACTCGTACCCGCATTATTCACGAGAATATCTGCCTTCCCCCACTTCTGAATCGCCGTCTCTACTGCCGACTTCCAATCTGCGGCTTTCGTAACGTCCATTTTGTGGAAAGCGAGAGAGGAGGGGTTCGTTTGCACGGTTGCTTCGCCGCCGGCTTGGTTTATGTCACAAACGAGGACTTTGGCACCTTCGGCTGCGAAGGTTTTGGAGATGCCAGCGCCGAATCCCGAGCCGCCGCCTGGTGAGAGGTCAGAATTGTGCAGCGATGGGGTGGAGATGGAGGTACCTGTTACAATGGCGACTTTCCCGTCTAACCGACCCATAGTGACCTGATTCAAAGATGTGGAATTGTGAGTAAAGGTGGCTAGTCGGGCTTGATGTATGAGCTGCTGATCCTTTATCAAATCGATGAATACAATGTGAGTTGCACGGTACAGCTGACGACGACGACTAATAGAC